AATTACCTTTACTCAACTGTAGTCCAATTACATCTGATTCCAGCTTCTGCCTCAAACTCTAGGGTAATTCTATTATATTATGGTCACTGTCCCCCGGGGTTCCTTCACATTAAGCTTTCTAATCAAATCGGCCTTATTACACATTACCAAATTCAGAACTGCCAGCCCCTTAATGGGTTCTACTAAATACTATTTCATAGACAGTCCACAAATTTGTTTTCTTGACATCTGCTACCAACCTGTTTTTCCCAGTCTACTTCCACGTTGAAGATCCCCCATGATTATTGTAGTAGTAAAAACTGAAAGAACTGCTGATACTATAAATCAGAAGCAAAAACAGAAATTGCTGGAAAAGCTCAGCAGGTGTGGCAGCATCTGTGGAGAGAAATCAGAATTAACGCAGTGGGTCGAGTGACCCTTCCTCAGCACTGTAATAGTGCCTTTCCAAATTCTGATTCATTTTCTTCCTGACTTCTTCTAGGAGGCCTGCATATAACTCCCATCAGGATTTCTTTTTTCCTTTGTGGTTCTTCATCTCTACTCTCACAGATTCTAAACATTCTGACTTCTGAGGCTTGGTCATTTAGTTCCCAGCCCTGATCCCCTTGCAGCCTCTCTGATACCCACAATATTATACCTGTCAATTTCAATCTGTGCTAAAAGCTCATTTACCTTGTTTCGTACACTGTGCATTTATGTACAACACCCTTAGTCCTCGTTTCACTTTCCCCTTTCTCATACTTCTCAAGGGGGAGGCAATGGCCTAGTGGTATTATTGCTGAACTGCTAATCCAGAGACCAAGCATAATGTTCTGGGGACCTGGGTTCAAATCCCACCATAGCACATGGATGAATTCAATAAATATCTGGAATTAGCAGTCTAATGATGACTATGAATCCATTGCCAATTGTCAGGAAAAACCATCTGGTTCACTGATGTCATTTAGGGGAGGAAACTGCCATCCTTACCTGGTCTGGCCTACATGTGACTCCAGACCTACAGCAATGTGGTTGACTCTGAACTGCATTGTTGACTCTTAGGGATGGGCAATAAATGCTGCCTAGCCAGTGATGCCCTCATCCTGTGAATGAATAAAGGAAAAGAAAATACTTGTCCCCTTATCTGCTCTGCCAGAAATTAGATTCCTGAACCTTTCCAAACTCTCTGTCCTGTTGCTTACCTCTGCTGGGCCCTACCAGCCCCGTTAACTTTTTACATGCAACTGAACCCACCTCCCCACTATTTAGTTTAAAATACTATCCGCAGCCCTAGTAATACGATTTGCCAGGATTCTAGGCCCAGCATGATTCAGTTGGAGCACGTCCCATCGGAACAGCTCCTTAATTCCCCAGTACTGGTGCTAGTGTCCCATGAATTCAAACCCATTTCTCCCACACCAATCTTTCAGCCATGCATTTACCTCTTTAGCCTTGTTGACCCTGTGCCACTTTACTCACAGTTCAAGTAGTATTATCTTTTTGGTTCTGCTTTTCAATTTAGCATTTAGCTGCTCATATTCCCGCTTTCTACATTATTGGTACCTACGTGGACCACAATAACTGGATCTTTCCCCTTCCACTCCAAGTTCCTCTGCACTCCAAATGAGATATCTTTAACCCAGGCAGGCAACATAGCCTTCAGAACTCTATATCCTGGTACAGAGAACAGTGTCTATCCCCCTGACCACACTATTCCCAATTACAACTGCATTTCTCTTTTCTTCCCCTCCTCTTGAATGGCTCCCTGTTATCCTTTGAGGATTTGTGGAGCAACCCCAGGGGCGCTTATGTCTGGGGCACATATTCTGAGGGTCTACTTGTCAGAGGCAAGTTGACCTTCCTCAGCTTGAAATTCCAAAGGTTGGAAGGGCATGGCAAGGGTGGAGGTGGAGATTCTGGCCAACTCTGCAGTGTCCTATGTAGAGAGTGCAGAGGGCCTGTGTGTGGTTCTATCTTCAGCTGGGTGCCTCTTGGCACTATCCTTTCTCCTTGTGGGGCAGAAGTTGGTGGTGAGAGACATCATGGGGTTAGACAGTTAATAAGGCAAAGTTTGATAAGATTGGTCAAGAAAACTTTCTTGGCTTATCATCAAAACCCCTCCAAAAAACTTTGTATTCAGCCCAGTGTGTTTCCAGTTCAATGAAGAGAGCATTGCTAGAATAAACTGTGCAGAATATGTTCAGTGAGACCAGTATCCCTTGACTCATGACTCACCAATCCTCCACGGCTAACAGGCTCCACTGCCGAACAAGCTCCCCTTGCACATCTGCAGAACTAGGAAGTATGCTAAATGCATTTGTGAACCTCTGTGTAAGTGCTCTCCACATCTTCACACCATCCAGCACTACTTCATGACCACAGCCAAGGCTCTGTGGATGTGTCAGAAATGAGAGCCTGCTGCGCCATCTGGAGGCCAGAATAATACATACACTTACCACTAGGTTATAATGACGCCTTTGTCCCTTCTTGTTCAATATCCCTAATGTTCACCTTCCTCTGTGTACAAAATTTAATTGTTAAACAGTTGTTCAGTAGTGGTTGTGCCAGGGAGGTGCAACATATAGAGAGGGTTAGTTCTGTAGGATGACCAGGGAGTCAGCAGCCTGCATGCCTATGAGCTGTACAATGCATGAGCCTGTGACGCTTGCTTTCCCTTTAATTCCCCTTATGTTCAGTGTTTGCTGCAGCATCGGTCCCCACCAAACCATGGGTTAAATCACTTGTCTCTCCTATTCTGAGGGAGCTTGCAGCCATTTTTTTCTCCACTGCGCACTTTGGATTTATATCACAATAGAAGGCAATGGTGAGCACTCCTCTGACAGTGGCTTTCAGCCTCAGTTTGAACATACCAGTGAGCCCTCAGGCATCCACATTCCCTTCCTAGTAGCTCATCCTGTTAACTCCATGGGTTTCACACTTCCCCAAGTCCCCACCCAAAGCATCTGCATCCACTTGCACCTACCTAGCTTTTCCAACCAGCTGGGTGCTTGTCTTCATGCACAAAGTGTCCCTATTGCATCACTGTTATTGACTAGAATGCAAGCCTGTACTTCCAGAATGCAATATGGCAGAGGTGCCAGGATGGTTGTGATGGTGGCAGGTGTGCACCTGATGCCATTGATCGTGCACTGGGCTTCAGTTTTGTTGTAAGCAACATCAAGGTTGTTTGGAGCAAGCAACAAGCTGAAACACCAGATACACACGTTTCCTGGTCACATTTTCCCAATGTCTAGTATCTGTGGTGAGTTTGGTAAGAAGGGAGGTGGAATATTAATGAGATAAGTTGTTTATCAAAGCATTTATCAAGTGTTAATCCACATCATTGGCATTTTACTGCTGACTAGCAAGAATACTGTTTGTGAAAAGCATAAAAGATGCAGCCAGATGAAACTGGTGTTGGACCTTGCCAGACGTCTTGTCCGATTCTGCCATACATCTTGTCCGATTCTGCCATACATCTTGCCATAGTCACCTTCGCTCAGTACCCAATAAGATTTTGCTCACTGATATAAAAATTCTCAAATTTCAGTAGGCATACATACTGGCATAAGGTTTAGGTTAAATATTGAAAAGGACAAGGATTCATCATCAATCTTTGTTTTTTACATTAATTATCCTTACATAAACTGGGATTGTAATAATGTCAAATTGCACTTTTCTGTAACTTCCTTGCAACCTGTTCCTATATATATTCCCCACACATTGGTGGCTGGACATAAATCCAGCTTTGTAATGGTACCTTTATTATTTCTCAGCTCTAAACAAATTTTACATTCTGTCCTTGATCCCTCTGGGGCATCCTCTCGATTTCCTGCGCTTTAATGTTCTCCATAATCATCCCATCTATCTTTCCTGAAAACCTTGCTACCAGGAATATGTCCTTCTTTAAGAGATAGTAGGAACTGCAGATGCTGGAAAATCTGAGATAACAAGGTGTAGAGCTGGACGAACACAGCAGGCCAAGCAGCATCATAGGAGCAGGAAGGCTGACATTTCGGGCCTAAACCCTTCATCGTTCTTTAAGCCAGATTTCTGTTATTATCATGTTCTATTTTGTTTAGTTCATTGGCTAGGCAGCTGGTTTGTGAGGCATGGTGATGTCAATATCATGCATTCAATTCCTACACAGATGAAGCTACCAATGAAGGACTCTCCTTTTCAACCTCTCTGTCGTCTCTCTCTCTGATGAGAAAGCAGACAGATAATTTGGTAGGACTGTGGTAATTTTACTTTTTACCTGGGTCCCTCATTTCTAATCCATTCTCAACCCTTGCCAAGTTATCTCAGCAAATAAAAATCAGCAGAAACAAAAGCTGCTGAAGAAACTCAGCAATTCTGTCAGCATCTGTACAGAGAAAACAGATTAACATGTCGATGGTAGATATATGGAACGTGCTTCCTTACTGTGGAGAAGGCAGGTAATCTTGCAACATTTAAAACCTGCTGGATGACAATTTGAAGTGTCAAGGCACAGTAGGCTATGGACCAATGGGATTAGCAGGTAAATGGAATTAGTGTAGTTTGGTGTTGGCTAATCGGCATAGATATGATGGGCGTAAGGGCCTGTTTTTACGCTGTATGACGCTATGAGTTCAATGACTCTTAGTCACCGCATTCGAAACGTTAACTCTGTTTCCCCCGACTGATGCTACCATACCAGCTGAGTTTCTCCAGCAATTCCTGTTTTATTCTACATCTCTAGCACCCGCAGTTCTTGGTTGTGGTTTAAAACAAAACATAGCAAACCTTTTAGGAATCAACGTTATATTTACTCACAACAGTCCAAATTTTCCTTCTTATCTGCACAATACTGACATTAAGTTGGATCTACAATAAAAGTTTAACTCTCTGGATGGCGACGATTGCTCTTTCGCCAATACGGCTGAAACAATCCGTCTCCTGGAGCAAAGAGGAGGCGGGCTCTCCTCGAACAACCACGCACGCGCCGAATTGCCTCCCAGTCCCGGCGGTATCCAGGAAGTTACGTCATTAAAACGTTGGGGCCTTCTTGGACGTCGCGCGAGCTGAATTTAAACATTGGGTTTAACCGTCTGCTCCGCCATGGGTAGGGTGTCATGTGGGAGTTCAAACAACGCTTTTAATTAGTATGTGAGGTAATTTCCTCTAAACGAGATGGACTCTACCTTATTATCAGTTTCAGTGCTGAATGTGTTTTTAACTTTCCCCGTAGTGTTTTATACTGCCTCGAATTGTGTACTGGGGTCTCCTGCTCAAGATCAGGCAACACTGAGGACAAAGGGTGTAACGGAGACTGAAGACAAATGGGTATTGAAGAAGGGGACTGAGGGAAGGGGTTGGTGGAAGTGATAGTTACTGAAGGCGGAGCGGGGTGCCAAAGGAAAGTGCGAACGGGTGGGTGGGGACTGGAGGTGACGGGAGGAATGGAGGTCTTGGGCGGGGTTGTGGTCTGGAGGGAAGGGATTATTGGCGGTACGGATGGGTGGGTCGGAGATATGTTTGGGTGGGAAGTATAGGCACGGATGGGGTGAGGATGGGGTTGGAGGTACAGTTGGAAAGGGTGTATGGTTGGGTAGGAAAGGCAATGGAGATGTGGAGGAGGAGAGGATGGGTGTGGGGATTTGGTGTGAGGAAGATATGACTGAAAATAGAGCTTGAGAGAGACTGGTCGTGGAGGAACTGTTGAATGGGTGGTAAACGGAGTGGGAAGTAAGAAGGGAAGAGGTAGAAGGAAACATTTAATGGCAGAAAGGATGATGGGAGGGACACTACAGTGTTTTTTAAATCCTTGTCCAAAATCTGTTCACACACAAAAACAGAAATTGCTGGAAACTTGGTTCTGAGGAAGGGTCACCGGACCCAAAATGGGTATTCAGTTAACTTTGCTTTCTCCCCACATGCTGCTGGACCTACAGAGTTTCACCAGCAGTTTCTGCTTTTGCTTCAGTATTTGCATGAGTCAGTGGTGAAGCCTTGCATCCATTTATTTCGGGCTCCTCAGACTATTTTAGAAAATGCATGAGGAACAACAGATTTTACAGTAAAGACCAAAAGAACTGCAGATACTGTAAATCAGAACCAAAAACAGAAATTGCTGGAAACGTTCAGCAGGTCTTGCAGCATCTGTGAAGAGAAATCAGAGTTAACAGAATACTGATGTTAGCACTGATTAATGTCACTTCACTTTAGTGAGTGCTTTGTTTATAAGGCTAGGTATCACTTGTGGATTCACAGCAATCACTTGGTTTCTTCCTTACCTGAAAACTATACAGATAATTTCCAACATGATGACTGAGGTAGGAATCCTGGATGATTCCTATCACACTAGCTGTCCCGGGTGCTTTAAATTGAGTTTGTCATTCAACGTAAAGTACAAATTTAATTAACTTTTAGTGTAGTGCTAACATACTGCAGTAAATGTAATCACTGGGGCCTTAACAAAGTGGTTACAAAATACTTAGTGGTTCATGAGTCCTTATTCTGAACTCCCTTGAACAACTTAATTATTGCAGCAGTATGTGTGTGAACCTGTCGTTCTGAAATTTTTTAACTCAGTTTTTGAAATGGTGAAAACATGTTTCTTGCTATGGATACTCTTTCCTTATATTTACACTGTTTTCTCTTCCTACAGATGTTTTGTGACATGTATCTTGTGCCAACATGACTCCAGATCACTCCAATAATTCCATCTTCATGAATCATTACAGATGAATATTATTGTCATGGAATTGAGGATAATGAAATTTCCTCTTCAGTCTTTCCTAAAGAGAAAGCAGGTCCCCAGTAAGGTGTTTCAACAACATTGGCAGGTCTTTGGCCTTTGCCTAGTATCAAGAATATGCAATAAATCTACTGACCTTTCTGGATTTACTAAAGCACTGATTGAACTTTGCCAAAGTAGGCATTTTATAACTGGAGATATAATTACACAAGACTCTCTTACCAATGGTTGGTACAATTATGGACATTTGGGAATGGAATTCAAAAAGAACCTGGCTAGTGAGTGGTGGAATTCAATGGTATTATCTAGGGAGCAAGTATTTGGAGTGGCAACACCTCATAAGTTGATGAACTGTCACAATTCAGATAACAGATCACTAAGGCTTGTAGAGACTACAGCATTGCAAGTTCTATCAGGCAACAAAGACTTGACGAAGGAAGAAATTGTTGCATTACTAGATAACGTATTGAAGCAGAGCACTATAGTCCGCCCTAATCTCCTGAAAGGTACAACGGCAACATTATTTTTAGTCTTCTGAACTCTTTCGTTACATGTCATACCTTGTTTCAATTCTTTTCAAACTTGGTGAGACTGCATCTGGGATATTGAGAGAAATTTTGCTCCACTTACCTAGGAAGGACATACTTTCCATGTATCGAGTGCAGTGGAGGTTAACTAGTCTAATTACTAGGATGACAAGACTGTCCTATGAGGAGTTTTGGCCAGTATTCTCGACAGTTCAGAACAGGATTGGCCACGTTTTTGCACAAGTAGGCACATTTCAATATTTTCTACACTCACTCATGGAGCCAGGGAGCAACTATCAGGAAGATAACGTTTGACAGAACAGTAAACATAAACTGCAAGGGATGAAAAAATTCTGAACCTATAAATTGATCACTTAACTGAATAATTAATGAAAATGACCATTCAAAAGTCTTGATCAGCAAAACTAACTAATAAACCCAATTTTTGCCCTTTTGTCTTGGTTAAGAAGCAGGACAAGAGAAAGAAGAGACCAGGCCCTAAGTCCTGATCGCCAGGAAAGGGGTGGAAAAGGAGTTGAGTTTAACTTTGAAAATGTGGGTCAGAAATGGCTTACCTTTCAGACTGGAGTATTCCTCCTCTCCCATGACTGCCCTGTTTTCCTATTCATTTGTGGGATGTGGGCATCGCTGGCTGGCTAGCATTTATTGCCCGATCCTTTGTTACCCTTGAGAAGGTGGTGGTAAGCTGCCTTCTTGAACTGCTGCAATCTATCTGCTGTGGAGTGACCCACAATGCCACTTGGGAGCGAATTCCAGGATTTTGACCCAGCGACAGTGAAGGAGTAGTGACATATTTCCAAGTCAGGATGGTGAGTTGTTTGGAGGGGAATGTGCAGGTAGTGGTGATCCCATGTATCTGCTGCCCTTATCCACTAGATGGAAATGGTTGTAGGTTTGGAAGGTTGTTGTCTGAGGATATTTGGTGAATTTCTGCAGTGCATCTTGTAGATATTATACACTGCTGTTACTGAGCATTGGTGGTGGGGTGAGTGGATGCTTGTGGATGTAGTGCCAATCAAGCGGGCTGCTTTGTCCTGGATGGTGACAAGCTCCTTGAGTTTAGGAGCGGCATTATCCAGGCAAGTGGGGAGTATTCCATCACACTCCTAACTTGTGCCATGTTGATGATGGATAGCTTTGGGGAGTCAGGAGTGAGTTACTTATCACAGTATTCCTAGCCTCTGACCTGCTGTTGTAGCCACTGTGTTTATGTGGTGAGTCCAGTTCAGTTTCTAGTCAATGATAACCCCAAAAATGTTGATCGTGGGGGATTCAGTAATGTTAATACCATTGAATGTCAAGGGATGATGCTTATAGAGTCACAGAGTTGTACAGCATGGAAACAGACCAATTGTGTTTATGCAGTGAGTCCAGTTCTGTTTCTAGTCAATGATAACCCCCAGAATGGTGGTAGTGGAGATGGGTCTGGAGTGGATAGGAGTGATTGGCAGGCTGGGGGCCTGGAGCAGGGTGGCTGGCAGTCAGCGGGCTAGAGGCCTGGAGTGAGGCAGTCATTGGGCTGGGGTCTGGTGCGGTCAACCTGTCACAGATGGCAGTCAGCAGCCTGTGAGCCTGGTTGGAGTTGGCCCACCGTGGGGAAGCGCGAGACTGTTTGTGTAAAGCCCCCAGTGTGGCGTGACTGCAGCCTATAGAAGGGCTTAATGTCAATCTTTTAACTTTATTTCTTTATTTTCCTAATTTATACTATGAAGAACGTAGAACTTTTAGCTTTTTTCTTTATTTCTCTATTTCTCTATTTTTCTACCTCATCTAGTATTTGTGACTAGATACTTTGTAGCTAAGTGTGTGCCAACGTTGTACACTGTTCACCGTATTCCTGTACCTGTTCACTGTATTCCTGTACCGTTGCTCTTGAGTACACATGACATAAAACCTAATTCTAATTCCAAATTCAGTGATGGTAACATCATTGAATGTCAAGGGTCAGTGGTTAGATTGTCTCAATTGGAGATCATCATAGCCTGGCATTTATTTGACGCAAATGTTACTTGTTAGCCTAAGCCTGGATATTGTCCAGATGTTGCATTTGAGCATGCACTGCTTCAGTATTTGAGGAGTCGTGAATGGTGCTGAACACTGTGCAATCATTGGTGAACATCCCTACTTCTGACCTTATGATGGAGGGAAGTTAATTGATGAAGCAGCTGAAGATGGTTGGGCCTAGGACACTACCCTGAGGAATTCCTGTAAGGGAAGTCCTGGAGCTGAGATGACTGACAACCACGACCATCTTCCTACGTGCCAGGTATATCTCCAGTTACTGGAGAATTTGGCTCCTAAAGCCCATTGATTCCGGTTTTGCTAGGACTGTCTTGATGTTGCACCCAGTCAAATGAAGCCTTGATGTCAAGGGCTGTCACACTCACCTCACCTCTGGAATTCAGCTCTGTTTAAAGTTTTAGCAAAGATTTGTAGCTCAGGTTGTGGGTGAGGTTGTTGACTTGCTCGCTGAACTGGCTTGTTTTAGTTCAGATGCTTCGTCACAATGCTAGGTAACATCATCAGCGTGGCCTCCGATAAAACGATGTTGTTCTACTCTGCTTGGAATTTGTAGTGGTGAGTAGTGTCATTTCCGGTTTTGATCTGTATGGGTTTGTATATAGGATCTAATTCTCTATGTTTGTTGATTGCATTACGGGTTGAGAACCATGCCTCTAGGAATTTCCATGCATTTCTATGTTTGGCTTGGACTATTATTGTTACATTGTCCCAGTTAAACTGATGGCCTTCATTGTCCATCACACTCCTGACTTGAGCCTCATAGTTGGTTAACAGGTTTGGGAGTCAGGAGATGGCTCTGTGCCCAGTCTGGAGTTGCTAGATATATTCCACTTAGTGTGGTGTAGATGCCACACAACATGATGGAGGGCACCCTTAATATGAAGACATGACTTCATCTCCACGTGGACTATGCAATCACTTCTCCCAATACTGTCATAGACATGCATCTATGGCAGCCAGAGGGTAAGATCAAGTATGCTTTCCCCTCTTCACCACCTGCTACAGGCCCATTCTAGCAGTTTTAGTCCTTTATTTAATGCCTTTTTGAAAATCCAAATACACTACATCTATTAGTTCTCAAATTTCTAACTTGATCACTACATTCTCAGAGAATTGTACTAAATTTATCAATTATGATTTTCGTCTTGTAAAACCATATTTACTCTGCTTAATTGTATTATGGTTTACTAAATTTCTTGTTACTACTTCCTTAATATTTGCAACATTTTCTCAATGACAGCCATTAGGCTAACTGGCCTATAGTTTCTTGCTTTCTGTGCCCCTTTTTTCTTGAATAGGAGAATTACATTTGTGGTTTTCCTTTCTGTTGGGATCCTTCCAGAACTAGAAAATGTTTGAAAATTACAACATAATTGTAAAATTAGCAGATGATACAAAAGTTGGCTGGGTAGTTCATAGCGAAGAGGATGCCTGTCAACTGCAGGAAGATATGCACAGTTTGTTTGAGTGGACAGAAAAGTAGCAAATAGAACTCAATCCAGAGAAATCCAATGTTAGAACTATATAAGACATCGGTTATGCTGCAGCTGTGATTTTGTGAGCAGCTCTGGTCACCACTTTAGGGGAAGGACATTATTGTTGTAGTGAGAGTACAGAGGAGATTTAAAAGAATGATACCTAGGGCTTGAAAATGAGATGAGGAAAGATTGGTAAGGCTAGACTAGAATTGTTTTCCTTGAAACACAGGTTGAGGTGTACAAAATAATTAGGGGCTTGAATAGAATGGGAAAGGAAGACCTATTCCCCAAGGTGGAGAGATCAATTACCAGGGGGCACAAATTTAAAATGATGGTTAGAAGGGTTACAGGTGACCCAAGGAGGGGGGAAAATACTTTCCACCCAGAGGCTACTGTGCAGCTGGAAGTTGCTGCCCAGTTCAACCTATTTAAATGGTACCTGGATCTACACCTGAAATGCTATAACCTGTCAGGCTAAGAAGAAAAACACTGGAAAGTTTCATTAGAATTGGCAGCTAGTTTATAATTCCAGCACAGACACGATAACCTCAATGCTAATGAATAGTTATGGTGATCAGAGTACCTGAAACATCCCCAAGGAAGGTTATCTAGTTTGCTTCCCTATGGTATTTGAAGTAAAGATGGATCCAAAGTAATAATGATTGATTGTAATTGGCTCCCTATGGTAGACTGCATTACACTGTAGTAGGTATGTGCGTCTTAACTCTGTCCTGCAGGGACACCTTGAGCTTGCACAAGGACCAGGAAATTGCCGTTTCCAGTGACAGAAACTTAACGATCTCCCCTTGACATACAAGAACATGTCACATTGCTGAATTTCCCCACAAGGTGAGAGCTCACCTTTGACCAGAAATTGAACTGGACCAGCCACATATATAGTATGTCTGCAAGAGAAAGTAAGAGGCTGAAAATTCTGCAGCTAATAACTCTCCTGCTGATGTTCCAAAACCTGGTCATCTACAAGGCATGTGAGGAATCACTTGCTTACGAGTTTGATTGTCCACCTAGGAAATTGTGTGTCACTGGTCATGGGTTCTGTAGCTCCTTGCATGGCTGATGAGCCCGATCCTTGAGCTGCGTCTCTGACCACATGAGAAACGCGATGCCACACAACATGATGGAGGGCACCCTTAATATGAAGACAGGACTTCATCTCCATGTGGACAATGCAATCACTTCTCCCAATACTGTCATAGACATGCATCTATGGCAGCCAGAGGGTAAGATCAAGTATGCGTTCCCCTCTTCGCTTGCCTGCTTGGGTGCAGTTCTAACGACACTCGAAAGTCTTGACACCAAACAGTCTGCTTGTTTGGCACCACATTCACCAGTTTAAAACATTCACTCTCTCTACTATCGACGGAAAGTGGCAGCATGTTTATGAACTAGAGGATGCGCTACATCATTTCACTAAGAGTCTTTCAATAGCACCTTCCA